TCCACTTTAAGGCACAGGAGCTAGTGCCAAGCTGAGCCACAACAATTTGAAAGCAGACCCTGACTGATTGTTTAGGAAAGCATGTACTGGGGAGATGGAAAATCCCCTTGTAAATGTGGTATTAAGTTTTTACCACAAGAGAAACTTTTTGTTTCTAGTGTGGTTGACAAAATTTAGTTCAATTGGCTGCTGGATTAAAGTAATTCCAATTTTGTGTCTTTTTCACTTCTAAATTCTGAATATTTTAGTTTGTTTAAGGTTTATTGTTTGACAGTTTTTGCTGATAACATCTTTCTGACTTTACATTGAGGGTGATTAGCCAGCTAAATAAATGTGTGTTGCCTGCCTTGTTAAGAAATTCCATAGCCTAGATTTAGTGTAGGATCTGGTCTGAGGGCATAAGCAGGTTGGAGATGGAGTGCTCTGATGCTGGGCTTTGGCAGAAACAGGCACAGTCATGCTGCTTAGGAGGGAGGAAAACTTCCATGCAGAAGTGCACTGTGTGGCAATTATTCTAGAAGCAAACTGGGTCTTCTACTTCTTTGCCCTATACAACTGGAAAGTGACTACTTCTGGGTGGGACCCCGCTATGCAATATCCCAATAGAAATTATTTCCCTTTGAGTGAGACAAGGAGTGTGTTTTGGCATAATGCTTGGTTGACTTTATACATTTGGAAAACTGTAAGTCCAGGTCTGATGTTGAATAGAGAATGACCAGACCTGGGTTCTTACGCTTGCCTTGAAAAGCAGAATTTTAGTTGAGTTTTGAACTTGAGTCTCTCTGAGTTTTTTGATTGTTCTTCCCCCAGAGTCTCTCTGAATGGGTTGGATAGTTCTTTTGGGACCTATCTGAAATCATTCAAGAACAAGCTACCTGCTGCACAGAGCATAGAGCTCTCTGACAGGGACTAAGGGATCAAACCTAGAATATTTGTTTGTTTTTCTTTAAAAAAATCATGCAAAGCATGGTTTGTTTTAAAGACATGCTGTTATTTCAGCTTGGTTCTAATCATGTTCAGAACAGGTTTTTACAGAAGCTGAGGCCAGTGGAAATGTTATGCTTTTTACTCACTTTTCTTGGAGAGGATTAAAGCAAATAAACATGCAATGGTTGATCCTGCTCCAAGTCCATGTGAGCTGCCTTGAAGGACAGAAGTGGAAGGAACAAGTATCCTCTCCTGGTGTCTACCAGCACCTTTTCCTTACTGCCACTTGGGCTCCTTCCAGGCATTAAATCCACCATAAATTCACTTGTTGACAACTGTTATTTCTTTTGACTCTTCTGGTGTGCTGGAAACAGTCTCTGCTTTGGAAATCATTACAGTGTAACTTGTGCAAATGATGAGTAATAGTTCCTCCAGTTTAACTCCCCCTTCTCTTAGTGTTTCCAGTGTGCTCATCTTTCCCTGTCTGCCCAGCCCTGCCGAGAGGTGAGGTACTGGATCTCAGTGCAGCAGCTTCCCTCGTGCCTTGGAGAGGAATTGCAGGTAAACATCAGCCTCCCTGAGCAAGACACTTTGCAAGAATAAGCCTGGAAAATAAATTAAAGACTCGGGTAAATACTAAAAAGCAGTAGGAGATATTGGCTTAATGGCTACACGATGAATTTCCCTTCTCACTAGGACCTCTGTCCTCCAGAAGGAGGTGACCAGTTATGTTCTTTTCTCTTAGGAAAAAAAATAATACATCCACTTACCCTTTCTTACTCCTATAGTTCACAAAAATATGGCTAACTCTTCTCTCCAAGGTTGTTGAGTTGATACAGATCTGAGCAATTTTTGTCTTCACATATACAACTCTCCAGTCTCTTGCTTGTGTTTCAGGCCTCTGTATTCCCAGAAGCTTATCTTTTTTTTCCAGTATAGCTGTTAGTATTTCAAAAGATATTGCTGTGATCTTTGTCTTGCCCATGTCCTTGGAGTATGCTGGCTGCAGCACTGTTTTCTTCCTTACAGGCCAGCCAGTGCTATTTCAGTAGGGTTTAGGAACCGAGTAGCATTGTGGACACATGCATCCCCTGGCAATGTAGCCTTGGAAGGCATGTGCGATTTGAAATCCTGCACTCCTGGAGTATGAGCATTGGAACACTCTTCATATGGCTGTCCAGTCAAAGATTTACCAGTTTTACTTCTTTTTTTTATTCAGGAGGGTTTAGTTAGTGGGCATGCCTTTGAATACAGCTTGGGGTCAAAAGAAAAATCAATTCCCTTCAGGTGGCTGGATAAGTAACCAAAGCAGCCCTATTTTACTTTCTTTTAATATATATATATTATGAACTTTAAGCTTATTTAAAGATCCTGCATTTTTGATTCTGTGTGAAATTCAAACTGTTATGACTCAATCTCTGCATGAGAATCCACAAGGGAGAAAGTAGAAGAAGCTGAATACTGACTTTGTGTGTCTGAAAAAGGATAGAAAAGTTTCTCTGCAGATGGATACATAGCATGTATATATACACATACAGCCATAATACCTACACTGTGTGTAGGGAGTGTATGTACAAGTGTACACACGCACACACACACACACACACACTCACATGTATCTCTGTTTAGTCTCTGGATAGATGGAAATGTCATTTGATTCTAGTATTTTCCTTGATTATAGTTGCTGTGTCCAGGAGCCTCAGGCTTGTTTCTATGGCAGCTATTCCCAGTTCAGCTATTTCCTCAATCCCCATTTGGCAGTAAGTGGAAGATGTTGTGACATTCACAGTGAGCGTGTCACAGAGGGGCTGAGAGCGTGGGCAGTGCTGTGTGCAGGTGACAGGCTAAGACGAGAGGGACTCGTGTACAGCATGGCCTCCCATGGCACTGGTTTCTTGGCTTTCCATCAAGGGCTTCATGGGCCTGCCCAGATCTCTCTCTCTCTCCCTTTCTTCCTCTTCTTTATTTTTTTTACCTTTCTTTTCCTTCCCTGTTGCCCTGCTCTGAAGCAGGACTGCAAGATCAGGATGGCATCATGAGCAGGAACACTAGGGAACCTGTGCTGCACTAGACAGGCTGACTAATCTCCCTTTAAATAATCTCCCTTTAAATAGTCTGGAAGCACACTGGTGAGTTTCTGTTTCAGGAGCCATAAATAGCCAGATCCATGCTGGTAAGTAGCGAATGGTACTGTTGTTTGTTCTGGGAAGGTCTTCCTATTTCCTTCATGTTATTGCATGGATAGCTGTGATCCAGTTCTGGTAACACTGTGTACAGTAGCGGTGCTGCTGCCTTTCCTCACACTGCTGTATCTTCTGTGACAGTGATGAGGGAGCAGCTGCTCCTGGGAGATAGACTTCTCTCTCCAGTGCTTTTAGATCAGAGTGGCAGTGGAGCTGTGGCTTGCTTTTGTGGACTGTACAGCTGGCTTTAGCTAGAGCAGTGTAGTTCAGGCCCTTCTGAGCAGTGCTGTGAGTTCAAAACTCTCATTGATATTTATAGCATCTAGAAGGTGAAAGCAAGGAATATTTGAACACTTACTGCCTAGCAATGGATCTGGATAGCGTATGTACATCTGGAATGTATGGTCCTAGCTAGCTATGTATGTGAGCTAGCTAGCCTTGTGATTCAGATTTGTCTGGAGGAGAAACTCAGTTTATCTGTGTTTTTCTAACTCAAAAATAAACACTATAAAAAATAAAATTATTGACCAAGTCTATGTTAGTTAGGCTGGCTAATATAATCTTCTTAAAGATGGAAGAGTGCAAACTATTCTCCAGGTAGGTACAGGAACTCTGAAGCTGCCTCCATATCTGGTCCTGAGTCATCAAGGCAGCCTTCAAGAACATCAGGAGCTCATCTCTGTCCAGTAGCTACTATAGCACTTTCTAAGATTTAGGTAAATAGGAGAATCCTCAACGAAGAGGGCAGCAAGTCTTGCCTCAGCGAGGTAGGAGGCATTTGAATTTCTTACTCATAGTGTATTGTCATCTTCTTCCTGCCATCCTACCCACTCAATGCGTCAGAGATCTAAGGCTTGATTTTTTAATTTTTTTTTTCTTTTTTTTCTTCCCCGCCTTCTCTGCTGAGCAGGGAATATCCAAGCATTCAGTTTCTGGTGCATCATGTGAGATTTTTATTTTTTTTTCCTTTTATATTTTTCCTTTTTTTTTTTTTTTCCCTTATTTTCCCCCCATCTGCTGAGATATAATTCCCTCAATCTACTGGCTTTTTTACTGGAGTGAGTTGGCTCACTGGTACAAGAGGACAGAGGGCCAAGTAGGTCTGAGAAGGGGAAGAGAGGATATGTGGGCCCATAGCACAGAGCAGTTACACAGAGGTAGCTTCTTTAAATTGTCCCTCATGTTTGCCTTCCTTCATAATATTGCTTTTAAATCATTGCAAAGAGGACAAGGTTTCTGCCTGGTCAGAAGTTCCATCCCAAGTGATGTTACACCATTCAGACTGTTCTTTGATCTTACGGAAGGAGGGGTGCTCTGTTCCTTTTCTTATTCATGCTCAGTGCTTGTCATCCTCAAACTGATGCACCCCTGGGGCCAGGGATTGCCTCAGTGTGTCATTTATATGGGATTTTAAGCTCATGTTTAGCAAAGCAGAAGTTCTGTGCCAAGTTTTGGATACAACATGAACAGAGAAACTAATGGTCTTCTGAGGGAAAGTACTACAATGTCTTATTACAGACTAAAAAAAAAAAAAGCCAAAGAAAAAACCAACAACCAAAACCAAAACATCAACCCAGCCTGTGCATTTAATTAAAAAGACAAAACAAAGCACAGCTTTTTCATTAACTCTATTTGGTGTACTTACCTTGCGACACTCCAATCAGACCAACCAGGCTGTTCCTGGGGTAAGTTTGGCCTGAGTTCCAGCTACTATGCAATGCATAGGTTCTCTTTGGAAAAGCAGAAGGAAAAGGCAAAGCTGAAAGTAGCAGAAAGTAAGTTTCAATGCAGGACAGGTCTCACTGAGCAGAGAGAGCAAAAATCCGTGGAATCTGCCCCATCACACTTTGCTGGGTCAAAATGCAGTGTGCTTTGTCCTCTTCCCTCTAGCACAATGGCTGCGTTCCCTGTCTTGGAGCAAGAAACATTATTCCAGAACAGTACCTGGAGCTATCGAATTCCAGCCCTGCTCTACCTGCCACGGTTCAGCATGATCCTGGCCTTTGCTGAGGAACGAGAGGACCTGGTGGATGAACATGCCAAGCTGATAGCCATGCGCAGAGGCGTGTATGACCCAGCCACGCAGCACGTTCAGGTACCAGCGCAAGGACACTGCCCCTGTTCTGCCCTCCTGCCCCCAGTGAGCTGAATGGATTTGCCCCCTCGCTGTAGGGACAGGGCAGCTTCTCCTTCCCAGGTACAGGAGACAAATCTGCCTATAAATAATACACGTCTTGTTATAACTGCTGGGATTCAACCCTATGGGCAGCTGTTGGGGGGACTAAAATGGAGTAGATATTCTAGGGGTGGCTTTGACCCATCATTGCAGAGCGGGGGATGCAGATAGAGAGATGGGACAAAGTTCTGTTGTAGCAGGAAAAATGTGGTGGAGGGGCAGAAATGCCTCAAGGAAGAGGAAGAAATGCCCTAACGATGGGGAGGAGTAAATTAGCAATCAGTGACTATTCTTTTGGTTTCTTAATTCATCATTTTAGGACTAATTTATAGTTTAATAAACAATTAAGAATACCTAGTCTCCCCATGCAAAAAAAAGTGTCTGGTTTGTTGGTGCCAGTGAATTTGCTACCTTATTAACCTACCAGTTATTATTAACAGTTTTGCTTTTGGGCGGCTGGGGGTGGTGGAAACTCTATTTATAATAATTTTTTGCATATGCAAAGGCATTAATGTCTTGGGGAAAAAAAATGTAATTATATTTTTCTATTCCAAACCTTCGTTGGTTGCCTTAGATTATAGGCTCTTAAGAGCTGGAGTCTGCCTAGCAGAAGCAGCCTCTGAGCCCACCTGCAGTACCATTCAGGTAACATCTTGTGTAACTCCCTGTAATTCAGTTAGTGGGGTTCAGTTGGTCATAAACTTAGTAATTTTTGTTCACATGCTAGTTTCTTAAAATGGAAACATTAGATTTTCAATAAAAGTTAATATTAGTTGGATAGAAAAGATAAGATATGAATAAAAAGGCTAATCAGCAAATCAGGGCAGAAAAGCTAATTAATATAATCTTACTGAAAACTACTGCTTTGCTTACCAAGCCAATAACACTATGTAGTCATAGTTTTATAATTGCAATTCTAGTGTTAGAAACATGATTGTGTTATGTGCTATTCATTGAAAACAGGGCTTGCTGGGTAGTTATACCAGCTCTGCGACCTATTTTCTGAGTCAGACAGCTCAGGGTCCAAATTTCCACACCAGAGCCACGCAATCAGCCCTAGCAAGGTGCCTCAGTGTAGGCTGGGTTGCCCATTCACATACATTCACATCAAAGTGGAGGAACAGAAGCCCAAATTAAAAGGGATTTGTCATCATGTAGGATTTATTCAAAAGGGCTCGGGTTTTTGTGTGACTTCCTAAAAAACATTGACACAGCAGAGTGTCTGTACTAGCACACTCTGACCACTGGGCATGTCTGTGTGCCATACATGTATTTGTGAGAATTTCTGAAAATTCAGCCACTGTAGCTTTTTAAAGGGAGTCATCAGCCACCAGCTGCATTGCGTTATGGAGCTATCAGTTCCTCAGGGAGTAGTAATTGAAAAGGACATAACCCACATGCTTGGTGAAGTGTACATGCTTTGTGTCATCTAAATAATTTTCACTTGCCTTTGGTGATGCCAGATTATTGTCTTCCCATTTCTTGCTCTATCCATTATCCTGTTTCTGTTCTTCCCATGCTCTTCTGTAGCTTTTATCCAGACATCCTTGCACTATAATGTGGGTCTCTTTGTAACAGTGTGTTTCATTCCTGTCTCCCTTCCCATGGGCCCTGGCAGTGGAAAAGGATGGAGACCCTTGTCAGTGCACAGCTGGAGGACCACCGATCTATGAATCCTTGCCCGGTATATGATGAGGTCTCGGGAAAACTCATCTTGTTCTTCATAGCTGTCCCAGGAAAGATCTCTGAGCAGCATCAGCTGAGGACAAAGATCAACTTGGTACGTCTCTGCTATGTCACTAGCATGGACCAAGGACGCACCTGGAGCACAGCCCAGGATGTCACCGACAGGACCATTAGGAATGAGTACAAGAACTGGGCCACGTTTGCAGTGGGGCCGGGTCATGGATTACAATTGCTCAACGAGGCCCGGAGCCTTGTGATTCCTGCCTATGCCTATCGTATCTTGGATTCCAAGCAACACCCCACCCCTCATGCCTTCTGCTTCATCAGCTCTGACCATGGGACAACATGGGAGAAGGGGAACTTTGTGGGGGAGGAGAGTGCGGTGGAGTGCCAGGTAGCAGAGGTGCATAGCTGTGGCAGAAAGGTCCTTTATTGCAATGCAAGGAGCAACAGGGGAGCCAGGATCCAGGCTGTCAGCTACAACCATGGGCTGGACTTTGAGGGAGGCCAGAGGGTTGAGACGCTAATAGAACCTCCCTCTGGATGCCATGGAAGTGTTACTGCCTTTCCACCTCCCCCAAATGCCAGATGTCAAGACAGTTGGTTACTCTATGCTCATCCTACAGACCCAAGGGGTCGAAAAGATTTAGGAATTTACCTCAACAAAAACCCTTTAAATCCAGGACACTGGACAAAACCCAGCATACTCTTCAAGGGCCTGTGTGCTTATTCAGATCTGCAGTATATGGGCACTGGGCCTGATGGCTCACCTTTGTTCTCCTGCCTTTTTGAATATGGGACCCACAGACAATGTGAAGAGATTATTTTTGTCATGTTCACCTTGAAGCAAGCCTTTCCCTCGGAACACTGAGTCTCAAGCTTTTCCATCAGCATCCCTCTAAAAACCATCTTTGCTGATGCTTTTTACTGTCATTTCTTATCCCTCAGTAAAAGTTTTTTTACTCCTGCTGCACACATAGTTTGGTGTTGTCTTGTTGTGTCTGTAGGTTGTGAAATCAATTAAACATACCACAACGTAACATGTTTGGTTTTGTTTTCTATTGCCCATTCTCCCTTTTTGCTGTTCTCTTTGGCTACCTTTTTACACATCACATGCCCAAAACAAGTGTGTTCTTTGTATAGGGCTTCTCACCTTGAGGTCTCTGATAGACTTCATCAGGGACACGTGTGCTGACAGGGCAGGGACTGCAAGGGAACAGATGGCAGCAGGGTTATGCTCAGTGGTATTTAGTAAGTTGTGAAGAAACTTCTAGAGAGGGTACTTGGCTTACTACCCTATAACTACTGTCATCTCCTTCAAGAAACTGCTTTGGCTCTGGTAAGGAGCACTGGTTCTTGCACCCAACGCAGGAATGTGGGCACCTGTAATTTCCAGGGCTTTCTGTCTTCTTATTTCAGCAAGGCCATGTGATGCCTTGCTCTTGGGATATTCCTTGCCAACTTCTTCACTGTGTTTGGGGCTGTCTTGCTGAGTTCCAGGCACTCCAGAGGCTTCTGTCTAACTTAACCTTCTCCTTTATTTCCCATGCTGTGTTTCTTTGCTTACTTGCCCTTCTGCTTACACTACATTGAGAAGGTGCAGTTTCCCATGTGTAAGACAAGCACAGCCTTGTGTGCTCTGGCTGCTCCCTCTACCTCGGCCGTGACAGTGGGAGCCATTGAGGACACCAGGACCCTTCCATGTTCGGGGACAGAGCAAGTGGTAAAAATGGCATTTTGCCTATATGGGAACTGCAGGATCAGGACAGGTCTGCAGAGGGAGCTCCCAATTTAGAGTCAGGAGGGGAACTGCTTGCTGGTCTTTCTAACACAAGTGCCAAGCTATGATCCACGTAGCAATTGCTCTTATTGTGGACAACCCCATGTCTTGTTATTACAGAGTACTATTGGCATATGAGGCTCTGTATCAAACAAATTACATTTCTCCACTTTCAGCAAAAAAGCATCAGTGTCAGAGGAAGGAGAATTGACCAAGGCCAGAGTAGCATAAAACACTTAAGCTGGAAGGCTTTCTAATGTAGACAGTTTTTCAGCAGATTTCTGAAGGAAACAGCTCTAGTTTTGGTGAGAGAGACACTACTCTACTACTATACAGTGTGTTTTGAAAGGATGCATTATACAACGACTAGACAAGAGACTGACCAGAAACAAATGGCTATCAGGCAAGATGGAGCACATCAGAGCAGATGGAGCTAGGAAAGTGTTACCCATGCCTCTGGACAAAACTCTACATATGAACCAGTCGGTGCTTGTTTCCTTTGTGTTGTATCCTCTGCGTGTGCACGTGTTCAATGACTGCATGGAAAATGTGTTTGTTTGCCCTCTTGGTGAAGAAAACCACCTGCTTTTCAGAGGCCTCTGAGCACATCCCCTTTGGTGAACACTAGCAAGTCCCATAGGATCCTTTGCAGTTTCACTGCTCAGGTCTGTGAGTCTGCTTGCACAGTGATCCTGCCCGTGCCTGTTACTACTGACAGCATTCATGGTGGTGGGCAGAGAGGCCCTGCCTTTCCTCACTACAGAGATTTGTTTCAGAGCACCTGGATGCTGCATATACCAAGGGAGAGCAGGGATCTCGTGACCTTCACAGATACACCTGTAACTTGTCAAGCCTTTCCCAAGCAGCAGGTCAGTAACATACTGGGCTGGAGTAGCAGAGTGGCTCAGGTAGCCAGTACTTTTTGGGTATTACTCATATGCTTTTAGATGTAGGCTAGACTCTAACTTTTGTGGCCAACCGCCTGTCACTAATGCCTAATTAGGGCATGGTGTATTTACTCTTCAGCAAAACTAACTGCTGCCCTATAGATTTAACCTCCTCATCAGGTACTATGGAATACTTTAGTTTCGTGACATGGACATGCATGCTTTGGTCTTTATCTGGCCAAGCCAAGTTCCCATGCTGGTGCAGGGCAAAGGCTGAATATAAGTGTGTGTGGGGGGGTTGGGTGACCACTGTACATCCTGAATGATGTCACAGTCAGTATTTATTTACTGGTTCTGGAGAGGCTGGTGCATGGACACCTACCTGGACATCTATAGCAAAACCACTTTAGATAAAGAGTCTATTGTAGTGTCTTGGAGACAAGATACTATTCCAATCTAACAAGCCATTAGGGATCACAGAACTGTTTATATTAGGGGATTGGGATTTACCTTTTGAGCAGCTGGAGCTGTACTCTGCTTTCTTTTAGGGCCAAGAAATACTCACAGAAACCAGCCTGCACATTCAATTGCCATAATCATCATTTGTACTTGGAACCCTTCCCCTTGTTTTTGTCTCCAAGTCAAGGAGTAGTGTGTGCCTGGACACAGGATTTGAAGGAAATACCAGCAGCTTGCTAAAAATCTGTGTAGGTGGTGGTATGGATAGGAGCTAAATATGCAGCTAATTAGTCTCAGATGTCTAATGAGGGCTTGTACCTGTTACCTGGTGTTAGTTTGCAGGAGATCGGGAGAAGCTTTCCAAACAGTTTAATTCTATCAAAACTCACATTGTGAGCAGCTCTCTCTGCTCACAGTGTGGGCATCCAGATACATGCCTGTTGCATGGACAGCACTGTAAGGTCAAGCAGTGGTTGACATTCAGAGCTGTTCTGCTTCCTGCTGCAGCTGTGCTCCAGAGAAGAGACTGGATGTACCAGAAATCCCAAGGACTTGGTGCAGGTGAGGTTAGCAGTGCACTGTGGCTAGGCAGAGCTGTCAGAGCAACTGCATGGTGCCTTTGCCATATGCAGATTCTCATTTTGTTTGGGAAAACAGAGTTTATAACCACTCTGTAGCTTATAGCTACTATCTACTGGCAGAGCCACTTCATGGCACTCAGTGTCTGACTCCATTTAGGCACCCCAATCCATAGTTTGTCTGCTAAAGGCCTGTATGGATGTTGGTAGAGCTGAAGGCCAGGTTCAGCTGAGCTAATTTTGGTGTGCAGACAGCGCTTGCTCAGCATGGACAGGAAGCCCTGCACGGTGCAGTTCTGCTCCTCTAGCAGGGCCATGGCCTGGCTGCACAGCTTTGGGCTGCTGCTGCCCACAGTTTCATCTCAGTGCAGAGGTTAAGCTGGACACTGCAGACCAAGGCTCTGCATAGCTGAAACCAGCAAGAAGGCTTACAGGGATGGATGCTGGGTTGTGCTGGTTCACTTTTCTCTCCACACCCACACATTCTAGCCTCCCCCTGAGCAGTGACAGTCTGTTCTCTCCTCCCTTGCTGTCCATGCAGTGCACAGCATAGCACTTCATGCATGGTCCAGGTACTGCGGTTCCAGCACTTCTCTTGGCTCTGGGAACCAAGGGTTGCATAGAGCTAGCAGGGTTTGCACCGTTCCTCTGCCTCTGGACTTGGAGTCCCAGCTCAGCTGCTGCTTTCAGGTATAGCTCAAATGTGGATGTGCAGAGGGCGGAGTAGTTGAGGACAGACAACCAAAATTGCCATGAAGGCAGTGCCTCCGTAAAAATGTCCTGGCATTGCTGCAAATATGTCTTGGACATGCAGCACTTAGCATGCCACACAGCATAGCTGAGGGACAGATGTACAGACAAAGAAAAGGGAAGTGAAAGCTCCAGTTCTCCCCTCTCTGACGCAGGTTGCTAGACACAGCTTTGCTCTATCCCACCTTTGGGGATTTAGAATAGGAAAGATCTTTGAATCCGTCTCACAGTAGCTGACAGGGAGCTTTGGTCAAAAATCCCTAGCACAAATCAGCCTTTCAGTCTGCTTCTATGCGTGGAGACATGCAGTAGTAATTTTATTTTTTTCAATTCTTTGATGTCCCCCCCTCACACCTAGTTAGATATGAGGACTAGTCAAGGCAGGAATGGGGCAGTCAGTGCTATGTATCCTAATGCATGATGTGTTTCTGATCAGAGGTTTATTTATTCCCCATAGAGACCTGCAGTGGGTAGGACAGACAGACAGGAAAAATATGAAAACTCAAAGGATCTGGCAGGAGATCATAAATTGGATGTCAGGCCACCAAAGCCTGGGGGACTGAATCTGTGAGGGAGCAGAAGAGATTACCAGCTGGGACTTCTGGACACAAAGTGGGAGGGGAAGGCAGGGAACATGGGCTTGCTCGTCACTTCAGCAGCAGCATGAAGAGGCAAAATGGGGGCTGCAGGGATATGTCACACTCCCTCTCTGAGCTGTTCAAGTTGAGGAAGTTGTCCGTGGCTGAGTTTCCTTTCCCTCTCTGTGCTATTGAAACAGGAAGCTGGTGAGCTGAAGCTGGCTGATCGTTATACACAGACACACAGGCGGCTCTGGCAGGTCCTGTATTGGCATTCAGGTTTCCTCCAGCTCCAGCGATGGATCAGTGCTGGTACCACGGCAACATCACTCGCTCCAGAGCTGAAGACCTGCTCTCCAAAGTAGGCAAGGACGGCAGCTTCCTTGTGCGGGCCAGTGAGTCAATTGCTTCAGCATATGCACTCTGCGTGCTGTAAGTACAGCGTTCACCGCGCCCTCAGCCCACACTGCTGTCCCTGCTGGGCAGGGGTCACCCCTGCCTCCTCCCCAGTACAGAGGCAAACAGGTGCTGTACTCACTGGAAATGTGCAGCCCTCATCAGAGCATGGCTGGTTTCACCAGACTGGGCCATGGGGTGGGAAGGGTTAGGAGCCAAGTTGAATAAAACTATAGTTATGTACTGCTGAACTGCTCACGCTGCTCCTGCCCCTGATTCAAAAGGAGAGAATGGTCAAAGGCACTGCTGCTGGGATCTGAGAGAAAATAACCTCTTGAACTTCTGGAGTGTCTTAACAACTTGGGTCAAGTATTTATCTTTAGTGACCCCAGTCCTGAGCCTGGGACCTCCCAGGCACTTTTCTTGCTCTGGTTCAGTGTATATTTGAGCTCCCTGCTTGTACTGTGTTGCATTCAGCAAAAGGCTTGAGATAGTTGGAGCTGTGCAAAGTATACCCAGCACAGCAGTGATTCCACCTGCATCATTAATGTGCCTCATGGGGTAAACGTTTCATGTGGGAAATAGAGAGAGAAGTGTTAGCAGCCCTGATCTCCCCATTCGGAGTTCGGTCAGGGACCAGAGGGAGGCCTTCCTCCTGCTCTGGGTTTGTGAGGGGCAGGTTTTTTTTCCTGGAGGCAGGAGAGCAGGGATGAGAGGAGACTGAAGTCAATAGGTAAAATCTGAGTCATTTGAGTCCTAAAGGGAGATCAGACAGTTGCTCCTTGCTTAGGAGAGATCAAGAGAGCTCTTGTGGGACCCTATCAGATCCTCTTTGCTGCCATTTTGCAGCAGATCAACGAAACTAATTTCATCTTTACCCCACATTACATTACAAGCAGGTTTCTCATTTTCTGTTTGAAAGTATATTTCTTGTTGTGGGGAAGGTGGTGCTGCTGTTTGTAACTCTGGACTACCTGCTTGTCTCTGAGGCCAGATTCTGGTCAGCACTGCCTGCTGCCGAGGGGCATGGGGCTGGGTAACTGCCCCGTGGGCGTAGGTGTTGGACTGCCGGGCTGGTGGCTGGGGAGTGGGTGTCTTCAACAAGGTGCAGAGAGCCTCGGTGCCTGCCTGTTAACGTGCTTGTAACAACACATGGAAGAATTTTGTCTTTCTGGAGGGAGCAGAGAAAGAAGGGCAGCTGCAGATGAATAGCCAGTACTAGCAGGAGGGAGGAGAGACAATCCTGTAACAGGGACTGAGGGCCCGAATGGTTACTCAGAGAACCATTTACTAGAACAGACTGTTGCTTCCATTGAGTGATTTTAGTATTACCCCACTGATTTGACTTGTAACCAGTATGTACAGTATTTTCACTGAGTGGTGGTAGGGATTATAGAAAGGGAAGGTGCTGCAAAAATGCCTACGAACGTGCATTTGCATAAGTTTTTCCATTGTAAATGTTTATGCAGTCGGCTTTGAAAGCCTTTTGTGACTTGAGAGACACGGGATCAGGAAACAGAAACAATATAATGACCATGATTTTCTGAACCGGGAGCCAAAGGTTATATTCTTAAATCCATTCTGAATTAGCTAATATAAACGGCTTGATTAAAGAACTGGGGAGCACCCAGCCTTGCCAGCCAAGAGCAACTGGATCAGAGGTGCAAAGGGCTGGCATTAATTACAGTCTGGGAAACCTCACACAGACTTCTGTCAAACCATCTGACAAGCTTTCAGTTTATGCTAGTTTGCAGTTAGTTTGTGGAGAGGTGGTGAATAAGTCCCTCTGAATGTCATCTCCACAAAATGGGCACCTTTGCTCAGAGATGTATCAGTTTCAGCTGGGCTACTGACTGGGAGGTGTTTGAAGTTTGAGCTCTTCAGTTACTTCTCTTTAAAAAATAGAGAGGCTGGAGACAAAGAATGGGAGAGTGGAGAATTGAAAGGCTGACTGCAAATTGTTTCCACAAAAGAGAATTATGTTGAAAAGGAGCAGGTGTCAACCGTGTATACATATGGAAAACAGAAAAACCTGAAATTTGCTCTGAAAAAGAAATGTAATATTCTACAAAGCTCTAGTATTTACTGGGCAGATCAATAAAGATCCAGCAAAAGCATTTATTATTATAATATCATAGTACTAAATAATGATTTCGTTGAAGAGCTGCTTTAGAAAAATAGGGTTTGTATAAATAGACAAGTGGGGGAGGTGTATTTGGAGAGCGTTTTAAGGGTGCCTTGTCTCCTTTTCTGAAACTTAGAGCAGCAGCATTTAGAGACTGAAAGGCTGGGGAATGCTCCTCCCCCTGCAGGGCTGTCCCCTGTTCTGGTCACACTGCCCCATAAAAGGCAAAAAACAAACCCCTTTTCCTCCTCCTTTCTCTGTGCCTAAATAATTTGATCTGCCAGCTTATTGACAAGAAATGGGCTCTTTTACTCATCTGGAGGGAATGCCTAAATCCAAAAGAACCTGCATAGTGTGCCGTGCACCTGAACTGGTACCATTCCTCCAGGAGATCTGTTGGCAGCTCATTCATGAAGGGCTGCAGGACTACCAACACTTCTAGAGGTAACTCTCAAGGACCAGCTACAGCTTTGGGACCCCTCTAAGAGGACCCTGCCTGTGAGATGCCCTTTCCAATGCTCTCATGGTGCACTTGGCACCAGGCCTAGCACAGCAGCCCTGTTTGGTGCTCCAGACACTCTTAATACAAACATAATCACCTGTGCATAAAAACATATAGCAGGAGAGGAAGGAGAAATTGCCTGTCTTATCGCACTGTTGCCTCTTCTAATTGGCTGAGAGAACAGGAAGATGACAAGTAATTGGAGACTTGTTTAAACGGAGGCTGATGTTTTATTTATCCTCCACATGGACAGCCTGAACCATGGCTGAGCAATTCTGAACTCAACCCAGGCTTTAGGGAGGACCTAGAATGTGGCAGAAACTTGGACCATATAACTTGACAGTCAGGATGCCGAGGAGAGGATGCCTAAGGGTAAAAATGGAGTAAGAGGCCCAGTCTTCTCCATCCACACACATTAAATTAGGGGACTGGCAAGGAGGATTCCTGCTTTTGATCCTAGGAGTGCTCCTCCCTTCTCCTGTCTCACCCAACCGCCCTTCTTTCATTGTTCCTATACTGATTTTACTTGTCCTCAGCTCAGCCGGCATTTGGTGACAATTCCACAGATACTGCAGTGTTTCTGTTACAACCAAGGAAGATCTGAGTATAGATTCTGTTCTTTCTTTTGAAAAGAAAGGGGTTGAACCAGCATCTTTTGCTGGCTCAAAGCAATATTGTTATATTTTAAGTGCTTTGCAGATGACTTAAAAGATTTGATCAATCTGTTGTGAGAAAGGTAAAAATATATTTTCTAGTCAATACTTCTTGAGTGAACTACACAAAGCTCAGCAGCTGTTGAGGAAGGTCAAGCTTACAGTGCTGTTCAGGCTTCCTTGGGCTCCCATGCATTGATGTGACCCTCCACTGAACAAAAAACTCCTCCATCCCCACTTAAATAAGAATCTAATTGAATTTAGCTGGCACTATATTATTTGCTTTTTCCAATACAAGTCAATGTACTAGCTCTTCTGTTTACTCATTTATTGCTGATTTTGGCCCTTTGCCTTTTGAATTTCTGCTTTTTCATTTCTTCCTGAGACGTCTGCTCTACTGACAGCTAGAGCCACTTGGTGTTTTCTCTCTTTCCGGCCAGAAGAAGAGTGGAATAGCTCCCTCTGAGCTAGTGCTGATATCACTTTCTGCAGTGACATCTGCAAGCAGACGTTCCTGTTTCAGTGACCAGGAACACTTCACGTTTGTGTTAGTCTGCAGACTCCAGGGAAAGAAAGTAAGAAAGAGAAAAGGTTTAAAACCCTTGTGCATGAAGCACTCTATGTGTCTCAGGATTTTACAATGTCTTTTCTCATAGGGAGGGATGACATAGTGAGATTCCCTTCTGGACATGGTCTAACCATGTCACCTGTGGTCTGTTCCAGGTACCGAAATTGTGTTTATACCTATCGAATTCTGCCTGATAAAGAAAATAAGCTAATTGTCCAGGTAAGCCATCTTTCTACTATTTGGTCCCATATAAATGTACTTGAGAACTGCTGGTTTTCAAAGTAATTCTAACCCAAACACAAAAAAAAGATATAAGGAATTAAACTAATGTCAGGCCAGCAGAGTGCTGGTCTCTAGTCCACTGCTGTGGAGATTTCAGTCTCTGGTTTGGTCCAGAACTGTGGTCATTGGCACACTTGTTAAGACACATGCCTTCAATTCAGGGGCACAGCCATGTTTTATGTATCTGAGAAGCCCAGCATGTGGAATAACTTTTCCTCTGAAGCCAGCTTCTTATCAATACATCATGGATCTTTTCAATTCAAAATTGCAGCACAGTTGCCTACACCCAGAGAATGTAAGCTGAGTTCTGGTCTCAGGATCCAGAAAGTACCAAGATTGAGGGCAGGAGTTTCAGATGTTCTGTTTATTCCTATTTTGATTTAAGAGCCTAAATGAGCCACTTCCCCTTCCAGTGCCACCCCTCAGCCCCCTTTTTTTTTAATATAAATCATGAAACGTGGTGTGGGGGAGAGGCATGGTATCCTCCAGCCCCAGGAATTGGACATGGGTTTACTGGGCAACAGAGGGGGCTGCAGCCAACCCATGCTCTTGGCACAGTCAGTGCTGCATGGGCATTCCCTGCTAAATGGAGTGGAGATGCCCACACTACCCAGTCTGCCTTGCTGGTCAGAGTGGTTCTACAGTAATTCCTTCCCATTTCAGATGACAACTAGCTTCCCACACTAGAAATCTACCAACTTCACGAGCAGCTTGTATGTCTCATAACCACGTTAGTGGTGTATTTCCTTGCGTGCTTTGGGGTTATCAGTGTTTCTTTGAGATTTCCACTAAGAGGCAGCATATTAGAAATTAGAACACATTAGTGAAATTAGAGTCATGAGTTAGTGAGAACAGCTACATCTAGCAGCTGTGTGCTTTTGGTAAGAATGGTGGATTGTGTGTCCCGGGTGCACACATCCAGTTTGGCTCCTTCAAGACCTACTTTTGGGTATCTCGCGCTGTTCTCAGCAGCCCCACTCAGATGCAGCTCTGCACAGACACAGCTGTATTGCCCCCAAGGCTAATTCCAGGCTCTTGGTGTGACCAGAGGCAGCCACCATGGCCTGTCAGCCTTGACAGCTGAATTCCCCAGAGCTACTGAGATTCCTCTGCCTCACTTGCACTTCTGTTTCTGAGAAGGAACTGGCAGCAGGAGTCTATGCCGGACTTGACCTGGGTCTGTAGTGTTAGAATGGCATGTCACCAGAGTTCATCCCTCTTCATGGAGCACTGGGTGACTCTGTGCGGAGGAACTTGTGCAGGTTCAGCTGGGTGCAAGCCTGGGACCAGCACCAAGCTAGAACCAATAACTTGCCTTTCCCACCTGGCTCCACACACTGTGCTATAGACTCTGTGTAGAGACACTTGATTCCCTCTGTCTTCTGATATATCCCAGCCATTCTGTCCTAAAGAGTGTGTTTTGGTGCATTGTGCTGGTGTGATGTGGTGGTGGTAAGAGCCCAGAAGGTGATATGGTAATTATCACTGACAGTACCCAGAGCAGCTGCAGAGATCAGGGTCTCACTGTGCCAGAGAGCTCACAGATGGAGCCTCGCAGGCAGAGACGGTATTTGGGGATACCTGAGGCCCAGGCAAGGGACACAACTCTCTATGTCCCACATGCTCTGTGTCAGGGCCAGTGTGGGACCCTGGCACTATTAATGATGTCGTTGCTCTTTGTGCAATGGTGTCCTGCTACACTGGCAGCAGTATGATGAAGGGAATTTGTGGAACCCTAATTCTGAGTAACTTTGGGGTATGAGTTTGACAGCTGCTTTGTCTTTTGGAAAACAAGCACATAAATTATCCTATGTTGGGTTTTTCCCCTGTGGGAGAGGAAGAAAGGCAGGCCAGAGGGTATCTGCAAAGGCAGCCCCACAGCCCCACATTTTGTCCCTCCATGCCCTGGGCAAGCCTTGTCCCCTCCTTGTTCCTCAGCTGCCCTGTTGGCAGATCATGTGTGAAACGCTGGAAGTGCAGCCTGGCCTGCAGCCTGTTCTAGCAGGACTATGATGCCATGAGTAACAGGAGAGTCTGAAGCCTGAGCAGAGAGCAATGTACCTGTGTGCAGCTACTCTCTGGAGAGCGCTGGGGCACAGGCTGCTCGCAGCACCTGCCAGTGAAGGTCTGTGCAGGGAGTTCTGTGCGTTACAACCCAGGAAGATGCGAGTCACGCTTACCAATTTGTGCTGGAATCATGGTTGTCTCTGCTATGAAAAAGGACCTGTTTTCATGTACAACTCTTGTTTGCAGAGTTGTACATGTACAGCACTCAGAGCACTGCAGCCATAAGAAATCTGTGTTCCTCTCTGTTGTAACAATAGGCAGCTCTCATGCTGGATCAAGGTTTATGAGCAAGAAATTTGTTTCTCTTGGGCCCTATGTTGTGATGGTGAGGGATTTCTCTTGTTCCTGTGTCACTGAATGCAGAGGGACTGTGGTGGAGTACCTTTGTAAGCTGGGTTGCCAGGAGCTGTATGTTGAATATCAGGAGTAGACTAAATAAAGTGTGTTGTTAACTCATGTTTTGAGGACACGACACTTCCTGCTTTGTGCTGCCTTATTCCAGTTCTTGGTACAGTGTTCCAGCTGGGCCAGGCTTTTTTTTGGTCATTTGTCTACTGATTTTTGGATAAAACAAAAACTACTTCATGTGTCTTAAAAGATCAGATTTTTGAAAAGATTACTTCTTTGCAAGGATGTAAAGTCTGTTTAAAAGCATGGAATATGAACATTTTTAAAAATCCCATTAAAAAAGGAAAGGGTCTACTAATCCTATGGAACTAGATCAGGTGTTAAATTAATACAGTAATCAGTAGATGCTTCTCATTTCTGGGTTTATAAAAATTATATAGGAGAGATTCAATACTCAATCTTGAGATTAGCCTGTATTAGTTACAAATATGAGACCTGTTTATCAATGTGACCTTTCTTTTTTTTTTACCTGCACAGTGCTTCTTCCTTAAAAAGGGCTGTCTTCCTGCCCAGAGCTGGGCTGTTGTCTGTCAGGAATTTTTCTTGGTGACAGCAGGTTTAGAAGGTCTGTCATATCACAGCTACATATGCAGCACATACGATATGACACCTCTCCCTCTGCCACTCTGGAGTTTTTTCATCCTTAAAGCTGCAAGTTGCATCACTTTTTTTTAAGTCATGGAGAGTACATTTCATTTTTTCTTGAGCCTGGTCCCACCCTAGTGGAATGATAGTGTCATTTTTTTTTGCATGGTTAACTGTTTAAGGACAGGTGGCAGAAAGGGAAATACAGATTTTTGCATGCCAAGGTAAACTTTTGCATTCAGGGTGTAGGAAAAAAAATATTGGCATATGTCCTTCCAGCAGTTTGTGGCATGGTTTGTGATCTGCCATTGGGATTCTATATCTGCAGCACCTCTACAGCAGATAGCATGGTCAGGAATCTCTCTTGCCTGCCATATCTATAATTCTTCTGGTGTTCTCCCAAAGCATACTGAGCTGTAGAGGTCACTGTCAGAGGCTGTTTTCTTTAAACACAAATGGAATTTTTGCCTTTCTTTTCTGATGAATTTTCTCCTTTCATTACTTGAGACTTCAGATTATATGAAAGTGTGGCTTGGATGAATCAAACTTGCATCCTGCTGATGAAAACGTTTAAGGAAGGAGGGTAGGGATAATGAAAACCCCTTGAAACACAAGATCTGTAACAGCAAGTAGAGATCTTTAGGCTGAGTCATCAAGATAGTCACCAAGATATCCTTGCTAGTTTGCAAACTCTTGCTGTAATGAGAGAGAACAGGAAGAGAGCAAAAAACACAGTTCCACAGAGATTCAATAGCAGGGACAGGGGGCTGGAAATAACTGCCCCTGAGTGAGCTTGGCTGCTGCCTGCCTGTGGGCAAGTCACAGCTGGAGTACTTCACTTTCTTCTCTGTGAAAACACATAAATATGATTTTCCCTTGCTCCAGTGGGGAGACATAATTAATGTATAGTTGCTGAATGTTTGGAGATTAGCTAAATGTAATCATGTTTGTGCAAAGAGGGGTGAAGCAGCAAAGGAATCCTTGGGCATCACAGTATCAAACTAAACACCAGACACAAACTAAAGACACTAAAACTGCCTTTTTCAACTAGGTATCTATGGTCAGTTCTTGCCATCCAGATTCACAGAAGATACAACTTTCCTGTGCTGTCACTGAGAGCATCTCATTTATTCAACTGGCTGAGGTGTCAATAATGACCCTCATCAGTGCCCACTCGGCATTCCATATGACCTTATCATCCCCTCAACAAATGGGGAACTTGGCTCAGTTGAGGATTGGGTTACTGAAAATAATTTTAGACATCCATCCCTGGCTGCCCTTACCAGGATCAAAGGATGTGTGTGATACATCAGTATTCATCCCCCCTCATTTTGGATGTGCAGTCAAAGTTGTCACGTAGGCAAATCTGTAATCAGCAGGAAATAAATCAGTTTCTCATCTGGGTGGGTTAAACTGTCATTGACAGGTCCTGTCTCTGTTGCCTGAAGATAACCCTCTTAAACTGCCAACCTTGGCAGGCTGCAGTCAGGTGAGGATATTCCCAGTACAATTGACTCTTGTTCCATGTGAGAAAGCGCTGAGGTCAAGAGCTGCTGTTGAAAACCTGTGGTAGTACCCTTGCCTAATGCTTTACCCTCTACTGCCTTTATATACTTCACCTTCAAAGGGTCACTGCCAAGAACACAACCTGCCTCACCAGTGAGGATGATTGAAAGAGGTGCTGAGAAGGAACAAGACAGTCTTGTCTGGTCAGTAATACAGATTGGAACAGGGGAGGGCGGATTTTGACGTCCTTCAATTTCTAGTGCATCTCAAACAGAAGTTCACAGCTCATGTTATTTGCTGGGGCAGTGAAATCAATCATTTCTCAGGGGCAGCTAGATTGCATCTTATGTTCTGCTTGTACTCTGCCAGAT